ATATAGCTGTATAAAGATTAGGTTAGTATAATATATATATATATATATTTAAATAGCTGTATAAAGATTAGGTTAGTATAATATATATATATATTTAGGTATTTATAAATTCAGAGGAATTAGTAAGTGGTGTTGACCAATTGCTTGTATCTATACATGACGTCAAATTCCTCTAATCAATAATTACTTTTCTGGCGGGGGGGGGGGCATATAAATAGAAAGTTGATTTTGTCCGAATCACAAGGCGTTCTCGACTGTGTCCTCAGTGGGATTTACGTGTTAGTTTAAATCAATATTTTTACCTTATATATATTTGATATTACTTTCATACAACAGACGTTTACTTTTTTATTTAGTTTAAACATCACAACAGAAATCTTTTCTAATATTTTGCTTAAATTAACATAGAAGAAATCCTTTTTCGAATATTTTATTGTTTAAAGCACCGTCTAGTGTTTTGTTTAAACATCACCACATAAACTCCTTTCTAATATTTTGCTTAAATTAACATAGAAGAAATCCTTTTTCGAATATTTTATTGTTTAAAGCGCCGTCTAGTGTTTTGTTTAAACATCACCACATAAACTCCTTTCTCGAAGAATGACCGATCAAACCACCCATTTCTCTTCTGAACGTTTTAACTGTACAAAATTCATATAAATTAACAGAAAATTATAATTTTTACATGTTAAAAATTCTCGTTAATACTTATTTTACTAACATAAAAGACGTATGATTAATTTAAGTGTCTAGTAAATCAGATAACAATTTCAAGTTTTTTCGCCCATGTTTGTAGGAATTTTGTGTACCAACACTAACATACAAGAGGTTGCCTCACAATTTTTATTTAAAAAACGAATTTGGGGCTATTTAGTTTAACCAGGCATCCAAGCCCCTGTTTCCATTATAACTATATTTTTTTAATGCTATCTTGGTTTGTTGAGTTGCCCCCTAATCTTCGTTCCTCCCGCACTTTTATCATAGACCTTTCGTCATGTTCCCACGGTGTTTACAAGGCTCGAGACCGCCCACAACGATTTTTTTTCATCATCTAGGCTTTGTTTTGGCTGAGAACCAACTAGACTCGTCAGTTTGATGGTGTTTGTTACCCCTTCCACCCACCTTCTTTTATCTTGTTGTTCTAGACAAAGAAAGAGTAACTCCACAAATGACACACAAAGATCCCTTATCTCATTCTGACTGCTACAGTTGAACAATGAATGTATGAAAAATCCCAGCAGAAAGCTAAAAGTCTAGAATGTTGAGTCAACCCCTGGCGTTTGTGAAGAATAGTTATACATTGTTACTGAGTACCATCTGGGGAATACCCGATAATATCACTTTACTAATACCCGATAATATCACTTTACTAATACCCAAGGGTATTAGTAAAGTGATATTATCGGGTATCAGTAAAGTGATATTAGTGATATTATCGGGTATTAGTAAAGTGATATTATCGGGTATCAGTAAAGTGATATTATCGAGTATTAGTAAAGTGATATTATCGGGTATCAGTAAAGTGATATTATCGGGTATTAGTAAAGTGATATTATTTTACTAATACCCGATAATATCACTTTACTAATACCCGATAATATCACTTCACTAATACCCGATAATATCACTTTACTAATACTCGATAATATCACTTCACTGATACCCGATAATATCACTTTACTAATACCCGATAATATCACTTCACTAATACCCGATAATATCACTTTACTGATACCCGACAATATCACTTTACTAATACCCGATAATATCACTTCACTAATACCCGATAATATCACTTTACTGATACCCGACAATATCACTTTACTAATACCCGATAATATCACTTTACTGATACCCGACAATATCACTTTACTGATACCCGATTTATTTTATTATATAAAGTAGTTTGTCGTTTAGTAGATAGATGGCTGACATTCATACTCTCCTTATTATATAAATTAGTTTGTCGTTTAGTAGATAGATGGCTGACAGTCATACTCTCCTTATTATATAAATTAGTTTGTCGTTTAGTAGATAGATGGCTGACAGTCATACTCTCCTTATTATATAAATTAGTTTGTCGTTTAGTAGATGGCTGACATTCATACTCTCCTTATTATATAAAGAATAGTTTTCAGCCACTTATTGTTCCGTACATTTTTGTTTATTTTTGTTTCAGATCGCAGGAGACCAAAAGATGTAATGCAGATTGTTCGTGTGAGCAGAAGTACAAGTGGCATAGACTTCTGGCGTACGACCCGGATGATGATTGTCGGGGGATATTTATGGATTGGTTTCTCTTTCCTTCTTGTTGTGTTTGCAGGTGCACAAACTTAGTTACCAAATGATCCGCTGGCCACTATTTTGAGAAAGTGATAAAAGACGAAATGTTTTAAGCTAAAAAACATAGAAACTTAATAAGAAACTAAAAAAAAGGAGGCCATAACTTTATAAAATGTGGATCTCGAACAGTTATGTTTGAAATTTGTTGCTGTTAGGATTGCAGTATGTTTTCTTAGCTAGCAATGTCTGTGGCGACACCTAGGAGTGCAATCATTAACGAATGGTGCTAACGATGTTATAAATGATGAAATTGAAACAATACTCTATAAAAGTACAAGTTCAGTATGAATTCTTGAATCTATATGTCAGATTCGACATCTGGTGTTATTTGTGAGAACTAATAAAGCCAAGTCTGCAGTAGGAAACAGAAGATGTGAATATGCGAGACAAATAAATCCGACACCACCTTTCCGAATAGATGTATACATTATTTTAAAGTATATAATATGGTGTTTTTACTTATATAAACGAAGCTTACCTTCAAGGTTTGTAGTTTTCATGGAAGATCCACTTAGATCCTGCTGGTAGATGAATAATATCAGTGTTTCTACTATTATTGCAAGTGTTTGTTTATATAATTTAGAGCTTAAGTGATGTAATACAATGCTTTACTTTGTAATAAAACATGCAAAATGTGGATTATACATACAGCTTAATTTTTCTAGTTTATACTAATAAAAACTCCCAAGAATCCATAATGTATAATCTCGGAGAACACGATAAACAGTAGATTATAGACTATCAGGGGGATTTCGACATTTTGACCTTTACTTTCCAAATGATAATAAAACTTCCTCAGACTTATTTTCACATCAAATATTTCTGGTGCTACTAGTCCTAACGAAACCACAATGGCGAAATGTAACTAAAGTATGTTTATTTTTATTATCTGTAAGGTAAAAGGTCGTTTGGATAACACATTTCTTGTACAAAATAATAACACCGTGTTGAGATTCTTTGTATATTTAAACGAAAACTATATTCTCTGTACTGCTTTTTTATTGAATTTGTTTTCAGAAGTAGCTGTTTGTTCTTGAATTTCGCGCAAAGCTACACGAGGGGTATCTGCGTTAGCCGTCCCTAATTTAGCAGCGTAAGACTACAGGGAAGTCAGCTAGTCATCACCACCCACCGCCAACTCTTGGTCTACTCTTTTACCAACGAATAGTGGGATTGACCGTCACATTATAACGCCCCCACGGCTAAAAGGGCGAGCATATTTGATGGGACGGGGATTCGAACCCGCGACCCGCAAATTGCGAGTCGAGCGCCCTAACCACCTGGCCATGCCGGTCCTCAGAAGTAGTTGAAAGAGATACACAAAAAGAATCATGAAAAAAAACACATTTAAGGTGTATAAATGCGAGTATAAAGTTACTTAAACTAACAAAAGTGTAGCACCAAGAGTACAATCAAATGGAAAACAAATCAGGGCAAAGATATAAATATAAGATCAATTGACCCTTTTATTTTCTCTAGACTACTCCAGAAAAATATTTCAGGAAGCTAAAATAGCGATAGATCAAAGTATAAAAAAAACACCAAAAAATGTCCATTTTTATGCTTAGTCTGCTATCGAGATTAAAGCCGCCTTGAGACAAAAACTGTTGTAAGCCTGAATTATTAAAAACTAAAACGAATGGTAACTTTAGAAGGCTAAGTTTTGGTATGCTTAGCTTAATGCCCCTAGGTAGCTCATGTCTGCGGTTTTCGATACTCCTGATGGGCACAGTACAGATAGCCCATTATGTAGCTTTGTGCTTAATTACAAATAAACAAAAGCCTAGCTTAAATAGCGGGAAATACTGAAACAAACCCAGAACTCTGCTGACAGAAGTTTTTATAGAGGACGCTCGTTGTTCGTAATCTTCCGGCTCTGATTCCGTGCTAATTGTAAATCGTATAAGTCTATGTATGTATGTCTACGTGTACATCTTTATAACTGGAAATGGCAGTGATTTATATGGGTAATGTTTCTAGTATTAACCCTATTTTCTTCATTGATTAATATATTGATTGATTTCCTCGATTAAAAAGTATTTTATTTGTATTAAAAAGTGTTCAACAGACGCCAAAAATGTCACAGGTTATGAACAAGGACACACACACACAAATATATTTGAAACGTTTCACTCAAGTTGACGTGTATTCTCTTTCAAAAGTATAAGTCGACGAGAAGTGAGACTTTTTACGCCTCGGGCAAGGCTTAATGTGGAGAGACGTCTTTTCTACTTATGATCATAATTTCCATTTTGTATTTATTGTAATCGTTTTCAAAACACACAAATATTGATTTCTAAGTTTTTGGTTCTTAGATGAACCTGGGGGGTTAGTAGAAACCAAGTGATGACAATGGAAAATTTATAACTCAGTGTTATTATCTTTAGTGCACAGTGCAGCGGTGAGTATGCAGAACAGCTTTCTGTTATTTCGCTGTAAGCATAGCGACGTTGTTGTGGAAACTCGTTATCTAATTATCCCGAAAACAGCAGTAATTATGGAGACATAGAAGCTTAGTAATATAATTAACACCAAAATAGCTGGAACTATACCGACATAGCGGTAGGTGGTAACATAGCGACGTAATTAAGATTGTTTTAAAGACAAAACATCCACACATTTAACCCTAAAATAGTGGCAACTAGTAACATGACTTTAACAAACGATACAACCACACATTTAACCCTAAAATAGTGGCAACTAGTAACATGACTGTAACAAATGATACAACCACACATTTAACCCTAAGATAGTGGTAACTAGTAACATGACTGTAACAAACGATACAACCACACATTTAACCCTAAGATAGTGGTAACTAGTGACATGACTTTAACAAACGATACAACCACACATTTAACCCTAAAATAGTGGCAACTAGTAACATGACTGTAACAAACGATACAACAACACATTTAACCCTAAGCTCATGTAACTAGTGACATGACTGTAACAAACGATATAACGACACAGTTAAACCTAAAATAGTGGTAACTAATAACATGACTGTAACAAACGATATAACGACACAGTTAACCCTAAGATAGTGGTATCTAGTAACATGACTGTAACAAACGATATAACGACACAGTTAACCCTAAGATAGTGGTAACTAGTAACATGAATGTAACAAACGATATAACGACACAGTTAATCCTAAAATAGTGGTAACTAATAACATGACTGTAACAAACGATATAACGACACAGTTAACCCTAAGATAGTGGTAACTAGTAACATGAATGTAACAAACGATATAACGACACAGTTAACCCTAAGATAGTGGTAACTAGTAACATGAATGTAACAAACGATATAACGACACAGTTAACCCTAAGATAGTGGTAACTAGTAACATGACTGTAACAAACGATATAACGACACAGTTAACCCTAATATAGTGGTAACTAGTAACATGAATGTAACAAACGACACAGTTAATCCTAAAATAGTGGTAACTAATAACATGACTGTAACAAACGATATAACGACACAGTTAACCCTAAGATAGTGGTAACTAGTAACATGAATGTAACAAACGATATAACGACACAGTTAATCCTAAAATAGTAGTAATTAGCAGCAAGTTATAATAAACAACACAGTTAGTTTTAAAATAGCCACATAGCCATAACTAGCAAAATACAGTAATAACAAAACTTGCAAAAGTCACTATTTCAAAATGATTCTATTTTAATACAAGCCCAGTCACGTGATTGAATTACATTTCCCACTCGTAAGCTAGTTACTTGTTTGAAATGTGCCACCTATATTGATGTTTCCTTGCACGTGTGTGTAATCGTAACGTTTAGCTAAGTGACTATTTAACCCCGGGCTCTATTCTTCTAAATCTGGGTTATTAATGAAACAAAGACATATTTAGATTAGAATCTCTAGAGGGAGCTACGATCAGGTAATTTGGATAAGTTTAACTAAGGAATCATGAAAAGAAAGAATGCGTTAGGAGTGAGTGCAGCACTGTCAACGAAATTTTAGACTTATAAAAAAATAAAAAACTTCCATGAAAATGTTTGTCATGTCTCGTAATTTATTTATTACATGTCTTACGGACAACTTAACTTTCCTGATGATGACTCAATAATATGGGTCGAAACGTTTTAATTAGACTGGTCTACAAAATTGAACTTTTTTTCTCTCATCAAAGATGTAAACACACTTTACTAGACCAGTTTTACACGCTGATTCCAAATCTGTTTTCGGATTTCTTATAGCATATCTAGTTATCGAAATATGACTGGTGTTAACTTCAGCACAATTTAGGTAATAATCAAACATTAGGCGAGTTAACGTTATAACTGTTACAACAGCCGTAGTCACGTGACGCTCCTGGCGCTGGTAGCGTGCGTGATGAGTTTCTCGAATGATCGGGGAAGTCCATGTGTGTTCGAGATGCCCTCTTCTTTAGTATTTAAGCCTGGCAGTGCAAGCCAGCAGGGATAAATGAAGAGAGAACAGTGGTTACTTTCATTTCCGTGTAATTTATGATTCTGTTAATTTCGAGCTAGTGAGCCATAATGTGTGTTTTGCACTCGTCGAGAGCGAAGTTATCGAGATTATGAATCGCTGTGATTTATAGCGTGTATTATAAAACTGGTTAAGTTTAAAGTGACGAGAAACGTACTGATTGTGTAACTACTGTGTACTAAAAGTTTGTATCGAGGAAGAATAAACTGGTTTAATCAAGAAAGGACTTGTATCGCTGAGGATTCTGGGAAAAAATTTCTACCCGAAACAAACAAACAAGCAGATACGTAACATAACTTTATTCATTTTTTCAGTATAATTCCCATAAACGTTATACACACCATACACTAGGTTACAACAGGAAATATACAACAACTTAAATTATAATAATCTTTCGAGTTTGATCGGTTTCATCACGAAAACTTGACCTACTAGAAGAAAACCAAAAACAAATTTGGAATCAGCGTCCCAAGAGCTATCTAGTCCACCTATAATTATACCTGATGAAAATGACTTGTTGGTCAGTTTACTACAGTTTAATATTACTGTACAAATTGTTGTATAATACTAGTTCATTCACTATCAGACCATATATGATACCCAGAAATATTTTACACTAATTGCTGAAATAGTGATACAAGTGATAATATTAACTCTAACAGAAGTCTGGTATACAGATAGTAGTAACATTATTAACAGAAACAGAAGTCTGGTATACGAATAGTAGTAACAATATTAGCAAAAACAGAAGTCCAGTATACAGATAATAG